GCTGCTTCCAGAATTACGTATTACAGGAACTCCAGGCTGATTTTTGTCCGAAACAACATGAAGTACTATCATTCCACCATCTTCATCTAGGTACACACAGGTGCAGTAGATAGACAGGAGTCAGGAGGTTCAGAGGGCCTTTAGTTTCTTTAGCAAAACGGTTATTTCTCAGGTTAAAAAGCTTTACTTTTTTTTTTTTATGGATTTTGTGGAGTATATAAGTGCTAAATATACAATAGGTGATAATTCACATAACTTTATAAGCTGCTGCAGGACTCCTTACTTAAAAAAAAATAAAAATAATGGAACATCTTTCATCTCACAATGGAGAAATTGACTTCTGCATCTTCACATTTTCTTGAGGAGCAATGGGCTGCCACTGTGTGGCGCAATCGAGGGTTAAGGGTCTTGCTCAAGGAGCCAGAGTGGAGGCTGTGGGGATTAAACCAGGTACTTGCAACCTCCTCAGAGAACAAGCGCACTGCTCTAACCATTAGGCCAAAACTCCTACTATTCTTATCCCATGAGCCAGTGTGTGTGCAAAGCTAGCATCTCTTAACTAGAACAGATCTAGAATGCTTTCCCGGCTTCCTCATGGATTTATACTTGAGTACAAACAGAAATGCTTTGCAGGATAGTTGAAAAGCAAGACTGAGGATAAGAAAGTTCTGCTCAATAACTGGGTTAGAATTCTGAGAAGAATCTAAATTCAGCGAAAACTTTAAAAATAAATATCTTTTGCCTTCAATTAAACCGTAGTGAATGAATAAGTTTACATTTTTTTAACCTAAAGAAAATCCTGAAGAATCGAATACTGTTTCCTTTTGGGGACATTAACAGGCTTTTGTTTCTGAGATACCAAATGAGGATTAAGTGCTGCTTTGTACCTGAGAGCCGAGCAAGCAAGGAGACCTCGCCAGTAACTGGAAACCAGCGCACTCCCAGGCTGCCATGTTGGGTCACATCAGTGAGGAAGTTGCTGTTTGAGTTGCGAACCGGAGGAAGAAAATCCATTAAGTTTCCTCCAGGATAAAACCTCCGAACTCCGCTCCGGTTTCCTTTACACACATTCAATTCAGCGTAAGCCACAAAAATGAAAAACATCGTTTTTTCCTTCTGCCTTTTTTTGCTTTGACCTGATAACATATCAACTCCAACTTCTGCATGTTAACACAAGGTACTAACGGATATATGAGTGCTGAAAATATGAGAAGACAAATGGAAATTTCAATACCAAAAAATAAAAATTTAAAACTAATTAATTCAGTTTTAGACCTTTAAATTCTATTTCAGTTTAACAAAATTCACTTTCTAAAGCCAATCAAATAATTGCATTCTGCTCTTAATAACAGCCATACGTTTTCTTTCTGAAATGTCTGTCCTTTTTATCCTTTTTCAAACCTTGGAAACCAAGTCCAGTGGATTGTTTTTTAAACTTTTACGGAAGTCCTTTTTTTTTTTAATCACACTCATACAATCTCTGGCAATGAAGGATTTCTGAAAAATAAATCAATTATTTTTCAAATTCCCTATTATTAAATTATTCCATTGTCCAAACACTGTTTTCTCTTTACGACGCAGTATTAGTCTCAAGAATAAAGTAATAACATTATGAGACTAAAATTGAAATATTACGAGAATGAGATCATCATCAACCCGTTTTTATTTTTTTTTACTATGTTTTTATTATTTATTTTTTTATTTTTCTTCTACTTGGTCTGATTCTGTTTTATTTTCTTATATTTTAATCATGGAAAGCACTTTGCATTGTCTTTGTATTGAATCGTGCTATATAAATAAATTTGCCTTGCCTTGCCTTGCCTTCGAGCTCCGACCAGCATATGACAGCCGACCAGCTCCACCAATCAGCAACCAGAGTCCACTTTGAGATTCTGCCCAATTTGATGCTTTTGCTAAAAGATTTCCTTATTTGTCAAACCGATGCCAAAGTATAACTTCACATGATGCTCCACATTCCTCATTTTAGTGAAGAAAGTGCTTCTTGTAGGAGTTGTCATAAAATATCACTTGTTTCTCGTAATTTTTGGATCATTCTCATTGTGACTTTATTCTGGTAATGTTACGACTTTATTCTCGAGGGAGAACAAAAAACCTCTCTAGCCTGGCCCTAATACTCCGTCGTATGTCTCAAGGTATGTTCAAACCAAACACGTTTTTTTACGCCCGGACCAAATTATTTATGTTTTATCCCTATCTGAGGGCGGATGTGGCAATTTTAGCGATAGGAAAGTGGCGTTTTTAGCTCGGCAAAGAACTCATGCTCCTTCTCAACACTGAAGTCCTCAGACATTTTTCTTTCGTTGTTTCTTTCTTTGCACAGGTAAACAGCACATTTCTTCTTCTACGCTTGCATTATCGGCAGAGCAGACGCTGAATGCGCACTTTCATCTGGTTTGGTGTGCCGCGGTTTCCGTAGCGTCGTGAACGCGCTTTTAGGAAATCCTATACACTACTGTTTATGCTCTAAAAACATTCTAAATGACTTTGTTTCAAGTAAATTCTGGCTGCTACCCACTCAGGACACTTGGAATACATTGGACGAGCAGTATGGAGGAATATTGACACGTTTTTTGTGGACTTTTATGGACCTTTCTGCCTCGGGCGCAATAGACCTCCATTATTTGAATGTCAGCAGACAGCAAGAAGCCTCCCAGATGCATTTGAGATATCAAAAAAGTACTCCAGAGTGTTGTTCAGCATGGGGGTGAGTAGAAAATGAAGGCTAATCATGTTTTGGGTGTACTATTCCTTTAAGCTTGTTGCAAAGCGGCCATGATCCGGCCGTAGCTCTTGGACTTCCTATGGAGGATCTGCTGGGCTCAAAGAGGCCGGGAGCTTGGTTCGGCACCATGACTCCCTCAGTAAAATCCAAGTCTTCCATGTTGAGGTAAAACCAAGAGGCAGCAGAATGTGATGGAGCCTCTTGCCTACAGTGGGAATCTCTCATCAGGTGAGTTTCTGGCTAAATGAGCAACAGCAAAAGCACATGAAACTGGCTATTTTGTTTTGCAGATTTTCGTGTTCGGTGTGAACGTACCATTCCCCTTTCACACATTCTATGTGCACCATTGGTCTTTTTTTTTCTTTCTTACTTGCAGCCTCTTTAAACTCTGACAGCGTTGGCTCATAGATGTCGTAGTAGACCTCTGCAGGTTGGGTGTTGTCCCGGACAAACAGCAGGTCACTGATGTTCGGATGCTGTTCACCCTGCCACAGAGTCAAGGAGAACCTGGAAAACACTCACAGCTCAAGCCACCAAGGGGACAGTTTGTAAGGTTTTCAACTAATTATTTTTTCTGGCTTAAGATCAGTCCACATGTGTCTGATATATTTTTATTTATCCTTCTATGGCTGAATAGTAAACATTACCTCGGTGACTGGTCGAGCAACCAGCTGATGTGCTGCCAACCACTGCGGACGAGCAGAGCATGAACTGGAAACGTCACCTAGGGAAGACAACATCCAAATGAGATATTTAATGGTGAACTGTTAACCATTTATAAGGCACTCAGTGAAATACTTTGAAAATCAACATTTTCAAGCCAATAGTGTTATTGGAAATCAGGACAAGACCTTATTATCTTTGTAACATTAATAATTTATGGATATGTTGATGGCAAAAATGTACAGTGTTGTATAAAATACTGCAATCTTGGAGTCAAGTAAAAGTATAAGTACCTCTCCAAAATATGACTTTGGTAAAAGTCCAAGTCACTGACTGAAATGTTACTTGAGAAAAAATCTTAAAGTATCTGAAATGGCTTGTACTTAAGTATGAGAATTACTGTAAAAATAGATGTACTCAAGTAATGTAGTGAAAAGTATAAGTAAAAAGTAAGTGCAGTTTGAATGACATATTTTTACATTATGGTAAACTTTGAAGGTGAAATTCACTTAAAATAATATAAACAACCAAGTGTAGGATAAATTTAGACTGGTTTTGCGAAACAGGCGTATCCTATTGGTGTTGATGAACAAGCCCAGGCAAGACCCGACTTTGTAGTCAGTAGGTGGGGTCAAAAGTATGGGAGAATTATCCTGCCTTAATGCAAGAGCACATAATTTCAATTTGAGAAAAGAATTCATCTTCTTGCAATCAAAACTTATAATGCTCACACTCAAAACATGCGCTCTCTCTCAAATAATTTCTCTTCTCTCTCAAATCTTTGTTTCTTCTCTCAGATTTAAGGCTTCTTGCTCAAATATTTTCTCCTCTCGCTTGCCTCTTTCTCTTCGCGCACAAACCGCGCTCTGCTCGAGTCTCAGCAGAGAGACTATTAGAAATTGTACGTCCTGTTTTTGGGATGTATGGCTTCTGTACGCCAATTTCCCACCGGAAGCTTCGCTTAAAAGTTAAAATTTTCTCAAGCAGCAGCTGCTGGAGTTGGAAAAATTTTACTTTTGCTGTTCGACTCGCCACATCAACCAATCAGAGAAGCCGATCTGGGAGCTGGCAGGGAGTCAGACACAGCAATGCTGATGCAGAGCGCTGTGATCACTCCTCTGAAACACTTTATTAACTTATTATTAACTAAATTAACTTAAAATGTAGAAACCTGCAAGCAAAATATGCTCGCTTTTATTATTCTGGTGCGTGCAGTCTGTCCCACATTCCTGAAAAACGCTAACATCTACTTCCAGCTGTCACCAACAGTAGGGGAAAACCCCAAGATGCGAGCGGGCCTCAGGCTGTATGGAAAGCCGAGCATCAACGATGCTCTTGAGGCGCGTCTAACCTTAATGTGTGTAAGCATCAAAAAATTAAGCGGCAGAGACTTTTTTTATGGCGTGGTGTGAACCTAGCATGACACTTTCTGTTTGTTTGAATTAACCTATGAAACATAATATTGTACCTGAAAATGATCTCATGTCTTCCTTATAACATTTGTACCGCTAGTGAAGCACACATACTTCTCATAATCAGGACAAAAGTAGAGTTGAAACAAAGACCAAAAGTTAGCTGTATTTAGGGTCGCCAACTCCCTGAAAAAAAAGGGACACCTCATGTGAATGACTCCCTCTTGAAGTTTGCGTGTGAAATAATTCTTTTAACTATTTGACTTAAATCTGCATAGAATTAGATGCATGTTTGCAGTGTCCTTTACATTCATTATAGCAAACGTTTTCCACCCAGGTATTTTTTTCCCCCATTTCTCCCTATATTTCTGTGTCATTATTTTTTTTCCGGAGGAGGATCATCGCTAGCCTCGTGAGACCATCATGATCTCGCGAGCTTTCAAGGTTTCACTCGCAGATCAGTCTGGAGACTCTCCGTTAAAGAAAATTTGGAGCTGTTCACCAAACCAACGTCCAATCAGCGTTGGCTTTGAGGCGGGTTGAGGTGTGACGCAACGAGAAGCGCGACAGTTCAGTTTAAAGAACATGGCGGCTTCAGTCGATGAAACTAGCGTTAGCGTGGCTATCGAGCAAGTTTTATCGGAATTACAGAGTATTTTTTCACTGAAAGAAGAGCAAAACACTGCTCTGGAGGCTTTTCTCAGAGGTAAAGATGTTTTTGCTCTTCTCCCGACTGGTTTCGGCAAGAGTAGCCTGGCTTGTGGTTGTGTTTTCGTCGTCGCTCTGTTAGTACGTCATATGCTTCATTGATCTGATTGGTTTATTTGGCCCGTCTATCACCAACATAGGCCAATCAGCTAACCAGTATTTTCGCCCCTTCCCAAAATTACTTCAACGGAAGGTTTCCAGATGGATATGCGGAGCAAATCCATCTAGCGGAGTCAGGTTAGATAATCGCTGCACCGCCCCCAAAAGCAGCGTCAGCATTAAAATTACTCCGTTCGTCCTCCATCCTGCTCTGTTCCCTCCCGCTATCTTCTCCATGAGCAACACTTGGCTCGACCAATGGGATGAGGGGGATTCTGGATCGTTACATGTATGTTGTCAGCTTTGAGTCACATCGCAGGACAGGGCCCGCGAACACGTTTACCGCAAGTTTTGTATCTTCATCATCATCTTCCAATAGCTTTTTATGGAGTATTTTTTTTAATCTCACAGTAATACGGGATAAAGTGCGTTCCTTTTCCACTAAATACGGGACAGGTACTTCTATTTCTAAATACAGAACGATTCTGTTTTTCAAGGGACGGTTGGCAACCCTAGCTGTATTCCACCTCAAAATGCAGGAAACCGTGTTTCAGAGTCTGAATATCAAAATTTTCAGAGGAATACCCCTGGTCCGCCCTACGCGAGCTACGGCCAGCATAAAATAGCCTCCAAAGAAACACCATGTGGTTCTGCTGGCCTAAAGGCCCGAATATGCAGCACCTGCTAAAGCATCAATAGTACGGTTACCCATTTGTCATTAATACAAATGCATACAATATGATAAAGTATTTAGGCCATAATTTTATTATTTTTTTAATTAGGAGAATAAAGTTGTTAAAAAATATATTAAATTCATAATCATGAGAGTAAAGATGTAAACCAGGAAAAAAAGCTTTTTTACCTGCAGCTGAATAAAGCATTTTAACTCAGTGGCAGGAAAACACTTTTTATAACCTTTAAAACCAGAAACTTGTAGTAATACCTGATGTTTTTACTCATAGATATTATTTCTTGTTTCTCACCTTCTGAGGGACGTCTTTGATCATTTCATACATGTTTTCCACCATTGCTCTGGAGTATGTTCCAACAAATATCGGAGGGAGATAAAGAACCTGCCAGAAACAAAATAATGTTAATTGTAAACGAGGGGAGTGGTGGTCTAGTAGTTAGGGCATAGAGCTTGGAATCCAGAGGTTCTGAATTTGAGCCCCACGTCCACAGAATGCCATTCTGGGTCCCTGAGCAAGACCCTTAACCCCACTCTGCTCCCCGGGCGCCGCACTATGGCAGCCCACTGCTCCCCAATGGGATGAGTTAAATGCAAAGTCCATTTTGTTGCTTTGTACTTGTGACAGTGGAATGACAATAAAAGCTGAAAAACAAAAAAAAAAAACTGTATAAAATCCTGGCTAAAAAAGTAACCTAACAAGAATATTACATAGACAAAAATTTTATTTCTGATTTTTACATTTCTTTTCTAAGTTTCCTTTTTTTCTTTTAGTTACCTTTTTTTGTGATGTAACAACAAATAGGATAAAACAAAAGACAAGATAACTTAAACTTAATGTACCAATTCAAGCTGAAAGAAGCTTTGAATCAGTCCTTATGACCTTCCCACATCATTTCAGTGAGACTGTTTCAACTGTAAAAAGTGATATTTAAGTCTAACCACAGATAAATAAAAAGTAATTTGATCTGTTTTAAAGGTATAATAATATATATATATATATATATATATATATATAAAAATTTAAATTAAAATATAAAAAAAATCAAAGTTATTCTCAAAACCTTTTTTTTTACTAAGAACTTTATCAAAGCTTCATTTCTGGATTGCATAAATATCCATTTTAAAAAAAAGTATTCTTTGCTTCCAACAATAATGGAACAAAATTCATTCCATACAGCAGCTGACAGACTGCGCCTTTCATTAAAGGTCCCACTCAGAAAAAAAATTTTCACCATTGGTATCATCATTTTTTTAGTTTATATAAGTGTTAGTATATAGACTTGGACAAATCTCCCTTTTATCTCCTCCTTTTTTTCCCTGTTTTTCCTTTACTGTTCTACCTACATTGCAGTGTCCATATAATCTATAACACTCCCTGCATGAATTATAATAAAGCTATTTATATGCATAAATCCAGTGGAACACTATGGCCGATAGCCGTACTGCTCCACTTGTGAAAGTAAAATCTGTTGGGCTCTTTTTTTGGCAACAAGACAATTATTCTTATTCCCACATCCACAGACAGGACACTTGAAAAATAAATAAATAAAAATAAATGACATTGCTGATTTTTTTTGGCATGCTTGCCATGGTTTGAAATAAAAAAATAATAAAAGAAGACTGCACTTGTGTACACACAGGGTGCATATAAGACAAAATTCGTTCAGTACAGCTCACAAGGCATTTCCGTTTCCTAAAGTGCAGCAGTGATAAAATGCAAACATGGTAATCAGATGTAAACATAAGACTGAGATATGATTTACATTTTTTCCAACATTCAGCGCTATTCAGTATAATATCAGAATGAGAAAATGGATCCTAATTAGGATGGGAGTAAGAAGATTTCTGCCTAAGAGTTTATGTCTACAAAAAGCAGAAGATTATTAATTCACTTTCTGAGGGATACCAAAATAAAACCCTAAAGCACTTATTTAGCCTACTAGAGTTAGGCCTAAAATCCTTCTCAAACACATAAAATAAGAATACCCAATCTATGAGTGCTAAGACTGTTCAGACTGTGGACATACACACCATCCATCCGGGAGACAGAGTAACATCTGGAAACTTCTCCTGAATCAGCTGAAGAAATCTGGGAGAGAATCGAAAAACAGTCATTTACCACCAGCTTTATTTACCTTCTGCTGAACTCTAAGGAGTCTGACCTGGTTCCATTGACTGTAGGCACGAAGCTCGGTACATTTGGACCTTGGAGGATGTCTGCATTGAGCCACACAGGCCTGTTGATTCCTCCACCTCCCTGCTTTTCCTTAAGCAGGTCCAGAGAGAAACCCACAGACTCCAGAGACTTAAAGTCCAACTTGATCCCTAAAAGTTGACACAAAATGAATAAAACTTTAATGCAGCCAAACAGGTTGTCATGATCTGGCCTGTTTGCTCCTCCCTAATTAGTAATTCCCCTCACCTGCCGTTTTCCCTCCCTGCCTCAATTACAATTTATTCCCCTCACCTGTTTCCTCTGGTTTAAATTCAGTTCAGCTGGAGCATTCAGGGCCAGATCATTTCTTGTCTTTTTGTTAGTCTGTCTGTTCAGTTTGGTTTGATGGTTCATGTCCTGGATCCTAGCAGCCAGTGAAAAAGAGGGTTTTGTGTTTGTCTCGTCTCCTGATCGTCCACTGTTCCTCCCCCGCTGAGTCCTCTGGGTTTTTGGCTCTATATGTGGGGAGGTTCAGTTTTTATCAAAGTAAGCCTGGCTCCAGGGAGGAGACCAGTTTAAAGTCCTGCTTCAAGTTCCGGTTCCTACGTCCTGTCTCGGCTACCCTCTTCCACTGAGCCTGCCTGTCTGCACCTGATCCTGTCTGCTCCTGTGCGTTACCACCTGGTCATGCTTCTGGTCCCAGTCAGACTCTGAACCCTCCTGGGAGCCTGTGGATGCCTGGAAGTCTGGATCCTGCCACCTGTTTCTGTTCCTGCCTGATCTGGATCCTGCCTGTTCTGTCTGTTCCTGTCTGTTCTGGATCCCTCACCAGGACCGGCTTCCAGCATCACCTCTGGGACTGCGGCACTTGGGGACATTCTTGGTCTGGACTGTTAAACCAGGTAAGTGACCAACGCAGATAATCTTCTGTCAGATGATCGTGGTCGCTTACCTGTGTTTCTCCCACTACAGAGTGTCTGAGATTGGGCTGTGCCCCGCCCCCCCACCTGCAGTGTCCGCGAGCCACAGCTCCGCTTTTGTTTTGTTTATTTAATAAACGTTTTGAACTTTCCTACTGACTGTCTCTCCTTGAATACTGGGTCCATCTGTCCTCGGTTCATGACACAAGTGTCTGTTTTCCGACAAGTTCTGCACCTTTTCTAGAGTCCAGCACAGCATCCAGCCACTGGTCGAGGGTGTTGTCACTAAAGACATCAGGAGGGTGAGCCATGATAGGAACTGGTTTTTGATCGGGAGTTCCATAACCCTCCAGCGTAACATCAGCCTCCAGGATCATAACATCAGCTGTACGGATAGAAAAACAACTTAAAAGGTTTGGTTTCACCACATTAAAAAAAGTTAACCCAACATAATCATGTTGCTTTTACATGCAAGTGCCTCATTCATTTGCTCCTTGTTGTTGGCTCGGTGAAACCAGGTTGCCAGGAGACCATCATGTTCACTGATTTCACCTGACTGAACCAGGTACTCCAGCATGTCGCCGCCAGTAGAAAACACCAGAGCAGGAGCTGGGGAAAACAAAGACAATCTCAACTACAGATTCTTTAAACCTCTCAAGTGACTCACAAAAATAATAGCCATGATGTTGGTGATCAGAAACAATTGATCTCCATTTCTATTCTGTTGGATCAAAATAAAATTAAACGCTTATAGATTGTGGAGTAAAAAATGTTGAGATATGTCTGTTCTTGGCCTCACAGGCTCCAAACGAAGGTCATGAGAGATAAGAATGAGTTCACACAGCCTCCTTCATGGCATGAAGGGGAAGACTGAGAAGATCCATCTGGCCAGTGAAAGATATATTACCCTAACAGGGAATGTCCTTGATGAACTTAAGTTTTTTTTCCTGTTTAAAACACCCCCCACAGCAAATTTCAAAATAAAAGCCTCCCATTGGCACTTCATCTACTGCCCTAATAACATGGAAAAAGAGTGATGGTAGGGCGACAGTGGCGTTGGATGTAGGAGTTTGCCCTGAAATCGAAGGATTGACGGTTCAAGCTCTGACTTTCAGTGTCGTTGTGTCCTTGGGCAAGACACTTCACCTGCATCGTCTACTGATGGTGGTCAGAGGGCCCGGTGGCGCCAGTGTATGGCAGCCCCGCTTCTGTCAGTGAGCCCCAGGGCGGCTGTGGCTACAATGTAGCTTGCCACCATCAGTGTGTGAGTGTGTGTGCCTGACTGGGTGAATGAATGTAGTGTAAAGCGCTTCGGTCAAGTCTCCTGACTTGAAAAAAGGCGCTATATAAGTACAGGACATTTACCATTCCTCAAAATATTAATGTGTGAGAAAGTTCTTTATGTAGGGGTGGGATAGTTCCAAAGGAGTGTGTGTGTATGGGGTGTTATTTTATAAATGTATGTACTGAGCCTGCCCCAGTCAGAGTTCTATCTCTCCATCTGAGGATGTTAAATTTAAATTTTAGAATTTCGTTCTCTTGCAAGAGTCTCAGCTTCCTCCTAAACTCCACAAGATCTTATAGAGTTTTATCAAGTCTCAGGACCCCAAAGTAATTCACTCACACATTGATGGTGGGGTCATCTTGTAGCCACAGCTAACCTAAGGCACATTGACAGAAGTGTGACTCCCATACAGTGGACGTCACCAGACCCTCTGACCAGTCTCGGACTGGGAACGATTTTCGGCTCAAATGTGAAACACAATACGAATACACATTGTGGATTAACCGATCTATCTTCAAGCGTAACACAGCAACCATCACCAAGACTTCTATAATCCGGTTTTACTAGCTTTGGTTATTAACACGGATGCGACAGTGGCTGCTGCTGTGTAACGTCCACACTTGCATGAAGCCAGCCAGACATTCAGTCACATAATCTAGGTCCACAACGTCAGCCAGAGTGTTGTAAAAACACCAACATAAACAATACAATATTGAAGCAGACAGGCAGTTCTTCAAAAATGAATCCATGAAAGCTCAGCGGTGTGGAAGCATTCACTGCCAGTCAAGGTGGCATGTGGGCAATGAAATGGTATAATGTAAACAGATGCTAAACCCCATCATGAACCACCACATATTTTTGCTAAATATTCTAACATAAATACTCCAAATATAAGAGGAACATCGTAGTTTGGTTTAAAGAAAGCATTTTAGTTTTATTATAATTTAGTTTGTTGCATTTTACAGTTTGAAGAAATAGAAACCACATGCCAACCGTCACAAGTATGTGCATGACAAGGAAGGGCTTTATATACTGCATGCATCATTTAAGTAGTTAAGATTGTATAACTTCTTATCGCCTTGAGTGATTTACTGTCACAGGTAGGTGCTTCGGCCATAGAGTAAGTGCTGGGGCCGGTATGATTTAAGGAGGGTCGGTCCCCGCACGCTGAAATTAGGACCGGCCAACCAGGCAAATGCCCGATATCACAGATTACCAGTCTGCCTCTGACCAACCTTGGCAAACAAAGGAACACCGTTGGCTGTAGCTGAATTGGTCATACTTTGAAACATAAAGCAGCCCTCTCAAAGGTCTGCTATGGCCTCTGGGTCACATGTACTGTAATGAGGAGGGGAGATGGATGTCGCTGTGGGCTGCGAGGTGGGACCGCTGGGGGGAGCCGGTGAAGGGGCTGTGGTTTTGGGCTGTGGCACTGATGATTGGGGGTTGCGGTACCCTGAGTGCTGATGTACAAGGGTGTAAATGGTCTGATTTGGTCTGATGTGTTTGTGTAGGTATGTACATGTTCATATATGTATGCATGTGTGTATATATATACACTATATTGCCAAAAGTATTTGCTCACCCATCCAAATTATTGGAATCAGGTGTTCCAATCACTTCCATGGCCACAGGTGTATAAATTCAAGCACCTAGGCATGCAGACTGTTTTTACAAACATTTGTGAAAGAATGGGTCGCTCTCAGGAGCTCAGTGAATTCCAGCGTGGAACTGTGATAGGATGCCACCTGTGCAACAAATCCAGTCGTGAAATTTCCTCGCTCCTAAATATTCCACAGTCAACTGTCAGCTGTATTATAAGAAAATGGAAGTGTTTGGGAACGACAGCAACTCAGCCACGAAGAGGTAGGCCACGTAAACTGACGGAGCGGGGTCAGCGGATGCTGACGCGCATAGTGCGAAGAGGTCGCCAACTTTCTGCAGAGTCAATCACTACAGACCTCCAAACTTCATGTGGCCTTCAGATTAGCTCAAGAACAGTGCGCAGAGAGCTTCATGGAATGGGTTTCCATGGTCGAGCAGCTGCATCCAAGCCATACATCACCAAGTGCAATGCAAAGCGTCGGATGCGGTGGTGTAAAGCACGCCGCCACTGGACTCTAGAGCAGTGGAGACGCGTTCTCTGGAGTGACGAATCGCGCTTCTCTATCTGGCAATCTGATGGACGGGTCTGGGTTTGGCGGTTGCCAGGAGAACGGTACTTGTCTGACTGCATTGTGCCAAGTGTAAAGTTTGGTGGAGGGGGGATTATGGTGTGAGGTTGTTTTTCAGGAGCTGGGCTTGGCCCCTTAGTTCCAGTGAAAGGAACTCTGAATGCTTCAGCATACCAAGACATTTTGGACAATTCCATGCTCCCAACTTTGTGGGAACAGTTTGGAGCTGGCCCCTTCCTCTTCCAACATGACTGTGCACCAGTGCACAAAGCAAGGTCCATAAAGACATGGATGACAGAGTCTGGTGTGGATGAACTTGACTGGCCTGCACAGAGTCCTGACCTCAACCCGATAGAACACCTTTGGGATGAATTAGAGCGGAGACTGAGAGCCAGGCCTTCTCGTCCAACATCAGTGTGCGACCTCACAAATGCGCTTCTGGAAGAATGGTCAAAAATTCCCATAAACACACTCCTAAACCTTGTGGACAGCCTTCCCAGAAGAGTTGAAGCTGTTCTAGCTGCAAAGGGTGGACCGACGTCATATTGAACCCTATGGATTAGGAACGGGATGTCACTTAAGCTCATATGTGAGTCAAGGCAGGTGAGCAAATACTTTTGGCAATATAGTGTGTGTATATATATATATATATATATATATATATATATATATATATATATATATATATATATATATACAGTTTACATTAATCAATGTCATTTCTCTGGCTGTTTATGCCAACAGATTTATTTGGTGGAGGTTCAGGTGAATTTAGCTAGTTTGAAAATTGGTCTTAAGTTTGGTTGATGTGTACTAGTCTCTTTTGTGTCTATATTGTTGATTCATTTATTGTTGTTTGTCAAATAAATTAATTTTCATTCATTAATTCATCCTTTCATAAGGTGTCACGCTCTTCAATTCATTTTACAGTGTGCCAGGACAAATTTCACATCTGACGGAGGTTACAGACATCAAGGAATATTGTTTCTAGAAAAACGGTCTCCCCTCGTAAGTAATTCTGTTAGACCAGGGATCTTTAACGCCAGTCCTCCAGGCATCCTGGAACATCTGGATGTGTCCCTGGTCCAACACAACTAAATCAAAAGGCTGAACTACCTGCTCAGTATACAGTTAAAGGGCAACTATCATGAACATCTTTCATTTTGTTAATAAACTAAATACTTGACAGTCTGATAGGGTCATCTTCATTCGCTGCAATTCTGCTTTTGTTTCTAAAACTGTCTATCTGGCGCCCTTCTCAGGTTTGACTTTTGTACTGTTAGAGAAGGGTACGATTCACATCAGAAGTGATAAGGTACAGATACCTGCTACTATGGAAGAAAAAATTTAAAAAAGTTTACTGATTTTTAAAATTTTATTTCAGTTTCATATGGAAAAAATGTCAGAATTTAATCTCTGAATTCTGACTTTTTTGTCACAATTCTGAATTTGATCTCAGAATTCTAAAGTTTTTCTCAGAATTTTGACTTTAATCTTAGAAGTCTGACTTTTTCTGGGAATTCTGACTTTTTCTGAGAATTCTGACTTTAATCTCAGAATTCTGACTTTTTTTGTCACAATTCTAAATTTAATCTCAGAATTCTAAAGTTTTTCCCAGAATTCTGACTTTAATCTTAGAATTTTGACTTTGTTCTCAGAAGTCTGACTTTTTTTCTTTTTTACTTCTCTTACTTATTACAACCAAACAAAAAAAATGTTACAGTGTAAAAACCTTACAGGTACAGGTTATGTTCTGGTAAGTACATAGTACACAAGTAAATAAGCCTGATGGAGCTCCTTAACTTAAACGCTGACCAACACTTTGAGGAAAACGCTGCGTTCAGGTGTTTTCTGAAATGTTCAGTCCCATTTCTGCACCTATTGATGGTGTGTTAGTGAAATGTTCATCAGTGAGGTAATGTGCTTGAGACTGGTTTGTTAGAATATCTTTAAAACCACAACTCAATAATAATATTTAAATTTACTGAATCATTAGTAAATTTTTTTTTTTAGTTTGCAGTTATTTGAATTTATGATCCATTTTTGCCAGTCTAAAGAGGGAGAGGTGTACAGGGGGGAGCAGAGGAGCGAGGTGTGTGCAAAGTGAAAGGTCAGGAAAAAACTGGTAAGAAAACAGACAGAATAGCAGC